TTCCCTGCCCGACTGCTTCGTGGCCGGGGTAGTGAGGGGAACTCTCGCATCGTGTCATTTCTCCCCACAACTTCACATTTGCGAAGGTTCTTTTTTTTTTTTTCATTCTCCTTCATCCTTCTTTTTTTCCCGCACCAACTCGAGTATCCTTAGCAGTCACTATGAAGAACTTTGCACGACAGCTTAAAGGGAAAATCGCCAAAGTATCCTCAGGCCGTGGAGATGGAGATGGGGACGCTGGACGCCTTGGTGGTACGATTCCGCCGATTGGAAGTACTCGTCCAGAGCTGTATGGCATGTTTCACTTAACGGAAACGGCATCGAGTCAGCCTGCATCTAGCGCTTGTCTTGCAAAAGTCATTGCTGTGCATGGCCTAAACGGCGATGCCTTCACGACATGGACACATTCAAATGGAACCTTGTGGCTTCGGGACTGTCTGCCAGCCTCCATACCCGGATGTCAGGTCTACACCTACGGCTACCCTTCTCAAATATTCACAACCTCATATGCTGGGGTCCGTGATTATGCGCGGCATTTACTCAGCTGTGTCAGGGATTTGCATGAACTGGACCATAATGTAATAAGAACCTCGCAGCTCACGGGATATATATATTGTCGCTGACCGATACAGGAAGAGCCGGTCCCAATTATTTTCGTTTGCCATAGTCTTGGAGGTATTGTTTGCAAACAGGTTGGTACATTACATTACACGTACAGCTCCCGCTCTTATCCTTTGATAGGCATTGGTCTTAGCACACGAAGACGACGTAATTTATCGCAGTACTCTCAAATCTGTTCTCGGTGTTGTATTCTTAGGAACCCCGCATAAGGGAAGTGAAGCAGCGGACATAGGGAAAATCGTTGGACGAATCATAAATCTAGCTGTCCCAAAAGCGACTCGAACTGATTTACTGGGCCATCTGGGTGAAAACTCCCAGGCTCTGAGAGAGCTTGCTTCTTCCTTTCGACACCGTTTGTGCAACCTTGAGGTGGTCACCTTCTACGAAACGCAGCCGATTCCTCCCTTGTCTTCTTTGGTATTTGCCATGCCTTTAAGGTCTGGGAGGAAATACTGACAGACCATAGGTTGTGGAAAGAAGCTCATCCATCCTTGACATTCCCCAGGAGGATATAATTCCTCTGTACGAAAACCATCGAGATATATGCAGATTCTCTGGCCACACTACTAGCTACAAAGCTGTCTCGAGCGCTTTACGTAGGATTGTCACACGTGCAGAAGCGAAAAGGAAGACATCGTCGAAGGAAGATGCTCGTTCATCCCAGAGATGTGAGTTATGAGCGAGCGATATGAGAAAAGATGTGTGATTCATGAGTCTCCAGCTTTTAATGAAATAGAGAAGGGTTGCGTCACCTTGTTCAGCCCGTTCGATATCGACGACTATCATAGACGAATACCCAAGCCCATCAAAAGCACATTCCTTTGGGTAATTTCTCATCCAGTGTTCGTTTCATGGCTCAAGACGGCCAAATCCACCATGATATGGTTCACCGGGTATCCTGGAAGCGGCAAAACAGTCATGTCGTCTTTCTTGACCAGGTATCTTGAAAGAACTGCAAAGGCAGCGATGGAGGATGCGATGGTTTGTGTGTACTTTTGTGACGGAAACATCAACAAACAGAAGGATGCTAGGTCCATTCTTCTCGGTGTTATTTTCCAGATCATTCGCCAGCATCGGTCTCTCATTCAATACGTTCGAAAGTTCTTTGAGATTCAGGGCGTTGGTCTGGCTCAGTCATTGTCGGCGCTATGGAGGCTCTTCCTGGAGCTAACCAGGGATCCCAAGTCTGACATCGTCTATGTTGTACTTGACGCACTGGATGAATGTGAGAACAGAACTTGCAATGAGCTATTAGCCTTGGTCTATGATTTCTTGGAGGAGTCGAAGAGCCCATCATACGATGGTAGCTGTGTCAAGTTTATACTGACCAGTCGCCCGGCATTCATACATTCGAGGGGACGTATGAATTCCCTCTCAAAATATTGTTTTGCTCTGGATGATGGCCAGCAAGGCTATGATGAGGACATCAGAACATATATTCAAGAACGTGTGAAGGAGATTGCCGGATGTCCGCCAGGTTTGAGAGAACACCTCCAAACCACCCTGCAAACGAAGGCCGGCTCAACATTTCTTTGGGTTCACCAGGTGTTCAGAGCTCTGGAAGGAAGTTTTATTACGTCGCATGAAGCCTTCCAGAGTGTCATCAATGCTATCCCAGCCACACTGGAGATGACCTACCAGACGTTCCTGGCAGCAATTCCGCAAAATGAATCAGATACGGCCAATAGACTGCTTCAGTTGATGCTCGGGAGCATGAGACCGCTAACTATAGCCGAAATCAGTATTGCATTTACGATTACCTGGAATCACCAAGACGCAGATCAACTGTCATGCAGTGCCCCTTTCTCGATGCTTCGAACTCTGCAGCTGGTCCTTGGTCCTCTTGTGCGCATTTCGGAATCTAAAGTGTCTTTACTACATCAGACAGTGAAGGAGTTCCTCTTGAACCCAGCGATGTGTGCGAAGCAGTACGTCATGACAGCTGAAGAGTGCGCCTTATGCATGTCAATGGCATGTGCACGTTATCTTCTGCTCTCTGACTTCGTTCACGATGCTTTCGCATATCATCCCTCCCCTGATATGTCTTTGACAGATTCATCATCGGAGTCAGGAAGTTCCAAATCTGATCACATGTTTACTGCTAGCTTCTGGGCCGACGAGACTCAACTTGGGTCTGACCGTCTTTTTAAGGAGCAGTCCGTGGTTACAGAAGAGGCCTGCAAGAGCATCGAAAAGGAGTACCCATTCTATCGCTATGCCGCCTTGCACTGGGCCAGTCATTATTCCGTTTCTGAAAAGTGCGCACCTCCACGTATGAGAAAAGCAGCACGAGACTTGTTAAACAAGACCTTGCCGCAATGCGCCAATTGGTGGCGTTTCTATCAGGCGGAAGCTGATGGGATGAACCATGAATCACACGAGAATCTTGATACCCTCGAACTGGCGGCATACTTCAATTTCAGTGAAATGCTCCGGGACATTCTCGAAGAGCAAGACTTTGTGGATGCGAATGCGAGCAAATGCAGAGCACTGTTTTGGGCCTCCTTCAAGGGTAATGTCGAAAGCATCAGGATCCTATTGCACGCCGGTACCGACCCGACCTTTCGGTCATTCGAACAACAGACAGCGCTGACTATTGCCGCGGAAAAAGGCCATAAGGAGAGCGTCGTGGTACTTCTTGAACATCCCCACACAAACATCAATTGTCAAGGGCGGCGTGGGCGAAGTGCATTATCATTTGCTGCAGCCAATGGTCACCATGACATTGTGCGATTGTTGCTCGCCAACGGAGAAATCTTACCAGACCAGGTCGATGAGAATGGGTGTACTGCATTAATATGGGCGATATCGGGCGGAGATACGCAGATTGTTCAGGATATTGTAGACCACAACAGTGTCAATGTTAACCACCAGGATGAGACAGGTCGAACAGCCGTGTCTTGGGCGGCTGGCGAAGGGAAGACAGATATTCTGAAGAAGTTACTGAAGGACAAACGAGCTGATATGAACATATCAGACAAAAGGGGCCTCTCTCCATTGATATGGGCGACGCGTCTAGGCCAGACGCAGACCGTGCGGCTCTTGGTGAGAAGTAAGGAAGTAAGGGTAGATACTGTCGACAAAGATCTCCGTGGTCCTATCTCATGGGCATGTGGACAGGGGCACCATGAAGTCTTGCGGATACTTATCAAATATAGGTGCCCGGGGATCAACCAAAAAGATGTTGACGGGTGGAGTCCTATCGCCTGGGCTATACAATGTGACGCTCCAGAAATCATCGAAACCCTGCTCTTGACTGGTGAGATCGATCTGGAAGCGAATGACGGCAATGGTAAAACGGCGTTGTGGTGGGCTGTCAGCTACGGACACATCAGGAATGTCAAAACCCTGCTTCGTGAAGGAGCAAATCCGAAGGCTAGGACTAAGGATGGTGTATCAGTCATAGATGTAGCTAGAGATTCGGGACGATCAGATATTGTCACAGAACTCTCCAAGGCACTATAGTTGCCACAAACAGCAGACACAAGGAAGTATGAATGGTCAACGTCTCAGAACAATTCTCAGAGCCCCGGTAGTCCATGGAAGTGACTCTACGAAAAGAAAGTAGTCCGCAGATCAGGGATTCTGTATCAATACAACTAAAATACACATGGCAAATCTGCGTGGCATCTACATCTGACAATGAGGTTGAATCCACCACATATCAATCGCAATGGTTTACACTGTTGTGACAGGTACCTTGTATGATAAAAAAAACATTGGGGGGAAAGTTGTTCTCCGATAAACAGGTCTAGAAAGCACAATGAAAAGTCGTCATAGAAAAGTCTTCAGGTACTTTAAAAAGAATGTATAGATCAGCTCGAGAGCAAAAGAAGGCACTTACAGTTGCAAGGCCACGCCTACTTTCGAGGAAGCCCGATTATTGTGGATCCGCGTCACCGGCTTACCAGAGAGCTAGATCCAGGCTGCAATCTCAGGCCATCCAGCCCCTCTAACGTTTCCCGCTTTATTCACTTATTCGCCGTAGACTCCTTAATTCTGTGATTCGCCATTCTAAATATTTGTTACCAAGCGTCTTAATTATTGCCGAGACCGACAGTGCTGGAGTCCGAGAATGCATTGAAGAGCGACCGTCAATGATTACGAAGGGGCAAATTCTGGCAAACATTCTTGTATCATAGCTGCCGACGGCATGGATGAGAACAATTTGATGTAGACGCTTTGATCGGATTAGTAAAACCTGGCACTGCCTTGAGTCTCACAGTCAGACAGTTTAACGGGAATCAATACTTCCAGGATGCGGTATGGGCTGACCTCAATGATGTGTTGACCCTCTGGCGCTAGGGCGACATTTCATACATCCTGGGCTCGGCAAAAAGTTTCAGAAGCATTTACCAAACTTGGTGTCACTTTCAAGCGACAAGTTGTTGAATGCAAGGGCCAAGCCATGAGCGAGGCAGAAGCACAAAAATGGTGGGACGAGCTGCGAAATATCCGTTACGCATTTGATATTTTTGACTGAGCACTGAGTGCCTAATTTTGGCCTCCCGACTTCAGAGTTTTTGTCAATTTGGCCATGGCATTGCCGACGGATAGACTTGATTTTAGACATTATACTGCTACTTCCATCTCAACTCAATAGACTCATAGTATATGTTCGTTTTCGTGAACCCCCTGAATTGAACGGACTCTTGGCAATGCAAAATGAAGTTATTCCATGAATAAAAATAAAAGTCAGCTAGTTTGCCGGTTTGTCCCACAGGCAGACAGACTTTAGAAATTATGGGGACGACAGAAAGGAGCGGAGGCCGAGGCCGAGGCCGAGCCAAAGGCCGGACTCATTGGCTTGGCCGTAGATTTCCTTCTACGGACGGGCAAAAGCTAATTTGAGTCCATGGGGACTAGCTCACCAACAGCTCGGCCTCTGATCAACCACATATCGGCATGATCGTAGAAACACCGATATCCCTTTTCGTTCTCGGTTTGTAAATTCTCTTTGGATAATGAAAAGCCACAAACAATTGTCAAATGCAGTTTCAAATACCTCCCGTCATAATAATCAATTGTTAGCGATCGATGAAGAAGAGAAGGTGAATTTGCTTCATCATTCATTGACAACCAAGTGAAAGGGTCAAGATGGCTCCGGGAAGCCCAGCCGCGACTGAACAACTTCAAATGGGACAGCGACGAGTTCTGGCCTGCATCTAACTACCTTCTGCCAGAACAGTACTGCCACAGTTCTTGGCGTGGCGTTTCCAGCCAATCAGCGTGCCGGATTCACCCATTTTCAAATCAATGTGTTGACTTTACTTCTATGCGATACGGTAATTTTGAGCTCTATTTCGGATGCACGCGAATAGCAGGTATATATGCTATTTAATTCTAATTACCAACTTTCCGCAGCTCTTTTTATGCAGTTTTAGTGCTTTTATCGTCGATCGAGTCCGAAAGACGACCTTTGCAACTTTTAGCCACACTTCCTTTTGCAAATTGTTATTCCAACTCGAATAAAATGGTTGGTGGACCTGGGACCTGGGACCCTCCGGCAGCTGGAACCCTCTGGCAGGACCTTCTGGGAACAACTGGACCTTCTGGGAATAACTGGATCTTTTGGCTGTATAAACTGGGAACTGGACTGGGAACTGGACTGGCTGTAGAACTGGCTATAGAACTGGCTATAGAACTGGCTATAGAACTGGCTATAGAACTGGCTATAGAACTGGCTATAGAACTGGCTATAGAACTGGCTATAGAACTGGCTATAGAACTGGCTATAGAACTGGCTATAGAACTGGCTATAGAACTGGCTATAGAACTGGCTATAGAACTGGCTGTTATACACCCCCTTAGCCTTGGGGTGCCGCTTGGTTGGCCGCGCAGCGGCCAACTAAGCGGCTAACCCTAAGGTGATATGAGTTGCCCGCCCACGGCGGGCAAGTCATGTCAGCTTGTTCCATGTCGAAACAGGAAGCTCCGCTGCGATCACAAGTTTCCTTGCGGTAACTGCTCCCGGGGCAAGAATTGGGTATGTTCCTATGCCGCCAGGGCAAGCGGAAACCCGGCGAATCGGACTCAACAACACGGCATCCCGACTCCGAGAGGATCCTCGACCACCCGAGAGGTGACCTCGGCGGTGATCCGAGACGCCGCAGAGCCTGCTTCCACACTTAGTGATGGTGTGCGGAGGTCTCGTCGAGGAGAAACATGGCATTCATCAACTGTGGCGAGCCTCTTGCTCACGCCCTCGGCATCGTCGCCCTCGTTTTCGGCGCCGGGCGGGCGCAGGCTCGCTGCTGGTACCGTGACAATGGGCATGACCAGCCGTAGTTCTCAAGAGCCTAGTCCGGAGCACGCTGGGATGACGCCAATTGCCACGGCACTGGAAACCATGACCAGCCCAATTAAAGGATTCATGATGAAATCTAGGTACTTTTCACCGAGTACCTGGTTCTACTCGGCCTTGCTTGTACGCCTGATGAGACCCTTGTACCTACCGGCATGCCAACTTGACACATACTGAAAGTCATAGGTGCCAGACGCTTTATCCTGGTTTGACCGAGTGAATGAAGAAAAAGGAGAGACTTGGCAGATAATGCAGAGTTGCAAGTCCTTGTCCCAGCGCCTTCAGCAAAAGCGACAAATTCCGTGGGTTCATGGTGAGTACGGAACATGCCTACCGTCCAAAGAGACGGCAGATATCTTGATTGACAAGTATCTGCGGACATTTGAGACGGTTCAGCGAATCCTGCATGTTCCCACCTTTCGGCGCGAATATCGCATGTTTTGGGAAAATCAAAGCCAGGCGCCCTTTGATTTTCTCATCAAGATGCAGCTGTGTTTTTCCCTTGGGGCGTGCCTGTATGACGATATCTTCTCCTTGCGACCGCAAGCCCTGCAGTGGATACGCGAAGCATCGGCGTGGACAGAGTCGTTTGACAGCCCCAACCTGTCCATCTCTGGCGTCCAGATCATGTGCCTCCTCTCCCTCGCGCAGAATGTCGTGCAGGAGCTCATTGGAGATCGAACTTGGATTCGGTCAGGGGCGCTCATTCGCTTGGCCATGGCCATTGGTCTGCATCGTGACCCGACAAAGCTGCCCTCCATGCCCGCTGCGCAAGGTGAGATGCGTCGCCGGCTTTGGACCACAGTCCTCGAATTGGCCCTCAGCTCGTGTCTCGATGCAGGTGGAACCCTGCTGATCTCGTTGCGAGACTTTGACTGCATGCTACCCATGAATCTCGACGATACACAGCTCGATTTTGATGACAACGGTGACTTGTTGGCGAGCGACTCCGCGACATATACCGACACGACTCTACAGATTGCTTTAGCTCAGACTTTCCCAGCCAGACTGGCTATTGCAGAGTATGCAAATGGATTCAACTCTGAGCAATCGTACGACAAGACGTTGAGGTTAGCCGCCGACTTGAAATCAGCCACGACTCGTTTCGGAGAGTCGATCAAGGTCCACCACGCCAAGATCACCGATTTCCAGCGTCGTTACTATGAAATGGTCATGGATCGTTACATGTTCATGCTTCATATCCCGTACGCTACTGTCGCTCTGAAAGACTCGGCGTTTCTTCTCTCGAGGGATACATGTGTTGATGCGGCGCTGAGACTTTCCTACGCGGCATTAGACTCACGATTGATGCCAGACGCCTTCCTGGACTCGGCGCGGGCGGCCATGGTCGTCACCGCCCCTTGCCAAGACTACGTCCGCCTGGTGCTCTGCGGAGCTGGGCTATTCAGGGCCACCCAGACACAAGCACTAATGATCATTGCCGCCGAGCTACATGCTCGTCTAGTCAATTGGTCAGAAGGCGCATGCCTGGATACGACGGGGCCTCTGGGTACCCTGCGTGGACAGGAACTGTTGTCATTTCTGCGTGTCGGCGTCGAATGGACCAAGTGTCGCATATTGGCTGGCCAGGACAACATCAAGGACTATGTCTTCCAAGCTGCTATACTTGCCGGAATCACCGCAATGATTGAGGGGGGTTCGGTCAAGGAGGCTACAGATAACGAGGGCAAAGAGGCATGTATCAAAGCTAAAGCACTCTTGGTGAACTTGGTTGGGGATGATGAGCCCAGCAACACGGGACAAGCTGGTGTTGCCGAAGACTCATGGAATTTCCATGCAAATGACTTTTGGACTGCCGATTGGGCTGATTGTACTGGGTCTTTTGTAATCCCACAATGAATCTCAGTTCGGTACAGAGCATATAATGCTCTTCGTCCCAAGCGAGACAATATGACATGACACGGTGGCACACGACTGTCATGAAAAGAGGTCAATCTGTGAATACCTATTGCCCGTCAGGTAAGCTTCTTGTGCTGCATTTGCTAGACTTTTGTAACAGCACGGTCCAAAGAAACAACCATGTGTCCCAGATCGCTTGTCATGACTGGCTGGCGACAGCATAGGTGCTTTTTCCGATGTAAGCGGGGTAATCAGAAACGTGAGTGAACAACAATCCGGCTAAGATCGCGTTGCATCGCATGCACAAGTGTTTTCTTGCTCATTCAGCTGGGGGTGATTGAGATCCACATGCTGGTGCATATCCACTACGGAATACCGACGATTACACACATGGCGGAATAAACCCACGTTAGCTTTTGTTCTGTGTTCCATGCATCTTTCAAGAAAGGAAGAGTAAGAAGAAAAGCATCCGATCTCCGAGCCAATCTGGAGGGGAAAGCAGGGGTTGGAGGTTCTGGATTTTCTTGGCTTTGCCAGCATTAGCTTGTTACCTTATTTGGCTGATGGGAGTTGGGTTGGCCAATGAACAAACGACATCTGCCTACCTCGCCAACCTTGATAGCTCTCTCGCGATGCTTCCCCCCATGTCTCTTCCCAGTCGTCAGGACCAAAGTTGGTGCTTCAAAAAAAAAAAAAAAAAAAAAAACGTACTCGATTATGATGGCAATGCTCAATGACGACACTGGGGTTTCATTTGCGTTGGAACCCTCATTGAACGTTACCCAGGTTGTACCAGGCAAGGCAGGATACCATCATAGTTGCTAAGCTCCAGCTGCGGGGGGTGGGCGAGACAATTGGGGAAAAGTATGTCTAGCTGAGTTTAGATCGCCATAAGCTTGGCATCATTGGAAGAAAACCAAAGGCGCGCCGTCACTTCCCGGCGGATAGCAATCTATTCCAGGAACATCATCTCATTGCCCCCCTGTCGGCAGCATATCGGTCAATGGATGCAACCTTTGGCTGAAATTCGAGCAATGACGAGCTCCATCTCCAAAAAGGCAACATTTGTGGCTCAGATGCTCAAGGCGTAGTAGGTACTTGCCGACCAGGTATACGTCAATAGTCTCGCTAGTGTCTTCTGCTAAGGCCTTTGGTACTCTTTCCCGCTATACACAGCACAGCTGTCGTCGATCACAATCCTGAGCTACCACTGTTGGTTGATCGTGGCTACGTCGACTACTTGTCGATCCAAAGCCGATAGATCACATATGCTTTTCCCCCTTAGCACATGCTTACTTGGGCCAATGGCTGTTCTCTCCTGGTGAGACAAGCTGCCTCCTCAGTGGAGGATGTCCTACCACTTGGCTGTAAACAGTGACGTCGCTGCAGCCCATGTTTGCGGTTCGAGATCAAGCTTTCAAGCACAAGCTTCCCCTCACTGATAGGAGGCAGCCAGCTTCTTGGATGGCATACAAGTTCGGGTTCTTCTGAGTATAAGAAGCCAGTGTTGGCTCTTGCGTGTTACTTTTTGCTCACTTCTGCTATACCCATACACCATATTTCTACAATCTCACAAATAAACTACCAGTAACACATCATGTCTGGCTACGGTAACAACAACGACGACGTAAGGATTTCCCGGCACGTGATGAATAACTTGAGACTAACAAACTCACTGATATAGTCCTACGGCGGTGACAACACGAGCTACGTAAGTCTCATCAGTTCTAGCTCCACCAAACTCAATCATCCAACTTACACATCAATTGCAGGGCTCAAGTGGCAACCGTGGAAACGATTCTTATGGATCCGGCGGAAATGATTCCTACGGTTCCGGCCGTGGAGATTTCAGCTCCGGCCAAGGAGGCCTCGGCTCATCTGGCGGCCTGAACCGTCGCGACGACGACGACAGCTTCGGATCCGCCGGTGGCAACCGCCGCGGCGACACCTTTGGCTCCTCGGGTGGCGGCCTCGGTCGTGACGACAACTCGTCCTTTGGCTCTGGCGGCGCTGCTGGCTACGGCTCCTCGGGCGCTGGTAATGACAGCTACGGCTCGTCCGGCCGGACCGGCGGCCGTGGAGGTGATGACTCCTACGGCAGCTCTGGTCTCGGTGGTAGTGACAGCTACGGTTCTTCTGGCCGCACCGGTGGCAGAGGTGGTGACGACTCCTACGGTAGCTCTGGCCTTGGCGGCAGCGACAGCTATGGCTCGTCTGGAAGAACCGGCGGCCGTGGTGATGACGATTCTTATGGCAGCTCTGGTCTGGGCGGCAGCGACAGCTATGGCTCGTCGGGAAGAACCGGTGGCCGTGGTGGCGATGACAGCTACGGCAGCGGTGGTGGCTCTGGCCTCGGCTCGTATGTGTTACCATCTCCTTAAGTTGATATTTCATCATCGCGTACTAACCCTGACTCTGATAGAAGCGGTGGTTATGGCGGTTCTGGTCGTGATGATTACGACAACAGCCGCTCCAGCGGCAAGGATTCTACGGCAGGCAAGTTTATGGAAAAGGCCGGCAACATTCTCGGAAGCGACAACCTCGAGCAGAAGGGTCGCCAGAAGCGCGACCAAGCTCGTGACGACTACTAGACTGGGCCTGGTAGTTTATGTCTAAGTACATAAAGTACTGAGGACTAATTAATGAAAATAAATAATCCAACCATTTTTCTCTTCGCGGTTTCGTATATTGTATGAACAGTGAAGACTTGAATTGCTTAGCATGTACGGTATGGCACGCCATCATATACTAACACCCAGCTGGATGGTGTTTGGCAAATGTAATTGCTGCAGTTTTTTGCTCCTTCGTTCTGTACTGAGACATGGCCGAATTTGGCAGCAATCATAGCTAATGAATTTGTCTTGCAAACTCTTCAGTAACTAAATCAAGTTTGTTACATGTAAATATGCTCTTAGTCCAGATTACTCGTACAATTCTGGTCCCTAATTATAATCTCATGGGATTGCAGTCGTTGGCTGTACTGCGGAGCGTGCAACTCTCACATGTCACAACAGGTGGATGGAGCTAGCGGTTATAGACAGCGAACGGCCATCAGTATAATTCCTCTCTCCACATCCGAACTCGGCGCCTTTACAATAATTCAACACCCAAGTCCAAAACCTTTTATCCACACCATTTCAATCATTCGTTGCCGACCAAAGTAATCAATACTTGCAACCATACTTGACAGCTGATACAGAATAGCATAACCGTTGCGGCGGTCTTAGACTACAATAAGAAAATCTTTTCTCAACAACAACCACGGTGAGATGGCCGAGTTGGTTATGGCGCCAGGTTAAGGTCACCTTAACACCTACTTCCTGGTACGGAAACGTGCGTGGGTTCAAGTCCCACTCTCATCATTGCTTCCTCCAGATTCAATCTGGAAACCTTTCTTTTTTGCATTTTTATACAGTTTTCCTATTTGGGGCAATTCAAGTATATGCAGGCTACCTGCGCGTGTTGGATTCTTTTTCCTCTCCCCTCCTCTTTCCGAGTGAAAGTCCCATCATGCCCTTTTTCTTATCTTCTCATATTCACAACCAAAATATGCTCTGCAGTCGTGCAAATACTTGCATAGAGCTGGATAATACGCAGGTTTCCCAATAGCTTGTCTGGCTGTGATCAGCTGTGATCAGTGCCTACCTGTCTGCCCCGCACTGATTTGGACTAGGGCCATAAAAATTTTTATAGTCGCCCGAGACTCGCGGCCCAGCGACACCATAAAAAGATAAAGAAAAAGGGTAAAAATGCAAAAAGAAACAATGCATCGTCGTTTAGATCTCCGACACGGGGAATCGAACCCCGGGCATGACGGATCAAAGATGAGAGCGTCATATGTTAGCCACTACACCATATCGGATGTGATGATCTTTGTTTGTTGTTGAATTGAGGGTCTCGTAATAGTCTATATGAAGCCTCACTTTTCTTGTTTCTGCTGATCCACACCTGGGAAGAAAATTCCTTGCGGTGAGAGGTCTGACTCGCGGAACATTTCAACATGGTGGAGATGTGAGTGGTTCTGAATAAGTCTACAGATCAGTCGGGAGCCTAGTGGTCGAGGTTGGTTACGAGTGGAGTGAAGGTACTTGTTCTTGGGCATTAAATCAGGAACCCAGTAGGTAGATAGGCATGGTCCATCAGTTAGAAAATTTTGTTGTTGAATGAAAGAGACGATGAGATAAAGGACATCATGTATGAGAGATCAGATTATTCTTTCTTTGGTAGTTATGGGTGAGCACGTCGTCAGTCGTGATAGACAGCAACGCTTGCTCTTCTAGACATGCATATTCTATTCTGTGTCCCAGAACGCCCAAAACTCCCGAGTATGTCCGTCTAACGATTGTCTCAGAGAGTAGAGCCTTGTTCGTAGGAGGCCAATCCAGTAATGTCCGGTGTAGGCGTGACAGGTCGGCTCTCGTGGCGGAATAGACTGATGTAGTCCCGGTCAGCGACGTACTGACTATCCGCATAACCGAGCAAACTTTCAATCTTGCTGCTCCGGTGGCCCTTGATGCGCGCAATTTCAGGCATGGCATAGTTGACGAGCGCTCGGCCAACCTCAATCGGGTTGCCCTCCCACATCTTGCCGTCAGGTCCGGGCTGTGCTCTTCGCTCGACCACAATAAGGCGCACGGCTTCGTGTTGTCCGAAGGCTCCCTCCACGTCCACGACCCCAATGGGCAAAAGGCCAGCCTTGTCGGCCAAAGCACGGTGTGCACCATCGTCAATGTAGATAGCACCATGTGGCGCCAAACCATGCGTCAGCCAGAAGTATCGATCCCGAATCGGGTGGGCTAGGGGCAGGAAGCGGGTGTGCAGCGGTGGCTCCGCGACATCGAGAGCCAACGAAGCCGTGGACGAGGCCAATGGATCTTCGGTATGGTCGTCTGAAGGAGCGAAAGCCTTGGTCGCTTGCACATATCGAACTATCCTGTGGATATTGTCGGGCTGAGAGGAGCGGGTGATGACTGTCGTGACACCAGCAGAAGTCGCGAGCTTAGCAGCTACAATCTTGGTGCCCATTCCACCGGTTCCTAGAGCAGATCCGGCGCTCGATACTAGATGCTGTTAGCTGTTCTGCATTGGAAATAGTATAAGTGAGCTTACCATCAGCACGGATAGAATCAATGTCATCAATAACCTGGATGGGCTGTGCATCTGGATTGGTTCTTGGATTCTTGTCATACAGACAATCCACATCTGTCATCAAGAAGAGAAAATCGGCATGAGCCATGGCTGCTGTAATGGCCGAAAGGGTATCATTGTCGCCAAACTTGATCTCAGCCACGGCGAGAGTATCGTTCTCGTTGACGATGGGGATAACGCCCATCTCGAGAAGCTCGTTCACAGTGGTCTGGGCATTTAAATATCTTTGACGCTACGAGGAGTCAGATTGATGACAGAAATGCGCGTGGCATGGGAAGGTCCTTATACTTACATCCGCAATATCGTTTCTGGTCAAGAGAATCTGGGCCACTGGCTGACTATAGTACCCAAAGAGCTGATCCCACAAACTGATAAGACGGCATTGGCCAATGGCAGCCAGTGCCTGTAGCTGAGCAAGATGCTTTGGTCTCTTCTCGACATTCATCCGCTGCAGACCAACACCAATGGCGCCAGAGGATACAATGACGACGCGGTGGCCATCTTTCCGTAGCTTGACCGCCGTGGCTACTATGAGACTGAGAATGGGGAGTAACGGCTCATGTGTCTTTTCATCGACAATGGAACTTGTGCCTAAACGCTGTGTGAGCGAGATGACCTTGGACTGGTCATGACTGCATGAGCTATATCCATGCACCAGCCCCGAGTTATATGACAAAACTTACCCAGTTTTATAACGACTGTGAGTGGCTTGAATGCCTTCATATTTGCTGCCAAACTCGGTCCACGAATCAGCGAAACCCCATGTATCTGGTTTTTTAGATGCAGTGAAAATGTCTAGCAAAAAAAGACATCAAGGGAATAAAGCCCAGCAGAAAATACACAAGGAAAATCGGGGAAAAGGAATAGAGTATGAAAGTGACGAAAACACAACAGCGGCTTGCGACATGTGCAGAGTAAGTAGTGAACGTCCGTCTTTGATGATATGGAACAGGAAAGTCATACAGGGCGCTGCGTCACCGGCGTCGGACATGATGACAAGGGGGTTCAAAAGGCGCGCGGCGGCCACTGAGAGCTGTTGTTGGCTGGGCTGTTTTAGGGGAGCCCTTTGGGCACTGGGCACATGTAAAAAAAAGACCAATTGGACCAGTTCCCAATCAAGCCCAATGGGTTCTCGTTGCGTCGCCTAGGCGGGTAATGGCATCGACCTCTTGCTCCACTGGCAAGATAAAAAAAAAATATGCTGGCCAAAATCCGTTTCCCCCAAAGTGACCCCCCAGGATTCGAATGTGCGGGAAGGTTTCTGATTGGTTGCAGGATCCATATAAAGATCGGACGTGGGTGTCAGAACTTGAAAGACCGGGGACAGCCCGGAGGTGGGAAGGGACTGAAGGGAAAAAAGTCACTAGCGATACCTTGCAGCATTCCGTCACTCAAGTATCACCACCACAACATCACCACCTACCAGTGACGAGAAACTCTAGCGCTTTGAATTGCCGGGCGGTGTGGCCTTGTACAGTTGCCATTTCATTCTCGACATCTTTCACAGCTTCAGGCCCCGGGACAACATCAAAAGCCGATTCGACATGGCCTCGACCTCTCCAGACTCGGCAGCAGCAACTGCTGCTGCTGCGCCGTCACCTCCCGCCGCCACCGCAGCAAACACCGGCGACCTCCCGGCCATTATGAAGAACGACCCGGCGCGCACCGGCTTCGACCCAAAGACCAAGTGGTGGGTCAACTACTTCAAGATCCTGTCGGGCGACATGACGGCCGAGGGCGCGTTCCACTACCGGGAACAGCGGTACCGGGAGCACGAGGAGCGCGATTGTCAGCGGTGCGAGCAGTTTCGCGACTGGACGTTTGCCCACAGCCCGACGGTGCGCTTCATGCGGGAAAAGGTCGCGGACCTCAACGGGCGCCTGGACGCCTCCAATGTCGTGTGTCGGCGCTGTCCCGCCCGGCTGACCGAGGACGGGCAGGTTCATCGCCAGGGCGGCGGGTTCAGCCCCGGCCACGGTATCCTATTGTGCGCCAACGAGGTCCGCGACCGCAAGCACCTCGAGGACACCCTCAGCCACGAGATGGTGCACGCCTGGGATCATTTGCGCTGGAAGGTGGATTGGCATGGCAATCTGCAGCACGCTGCTTGTTCAGAGGTACAGTCTTAGTCTCTCTCTCACTCTCTCTCCTTCTCTGCCTGAATCGCTTGGATTTGGCACCTACACGATGGAAACAAGTAACTAACGTGACCTGCTATACAACAGATCCGAGCCTCCATGTTGAGCGGCGAGTGCAGATGGACGCAAGAGACGATGACGAACAAAAACTGGACCTTGACACAACAATTCCAAAATTGTGTAAGGCGGAGGGCGGTCTTGTCTCTCATGGCTAGACCGACATGCAAAGACGATGTACAGGCAGTCAAGGTGGTCAACCAGGTTTGGGACTCGTGCTTTTCCGATACCCGACCCTTTGACGAGATCTACCGGTAGAGCATCAACAAGCCCAATGAGGCAAACTATTGTACAACATCAACAACAACACCATGCAAAGAAGAGGCGTTTATGGAGTTTGGGGCTTTTCATGGACAAAAGTGCAAATGTTTAAATGTATTTGGATCGATTACGGAATGATATACCAGCTCCCCTTGATGCAAGATCTCCCGTCCATATGTTCGCCTGTACGCCGTTGCCTTAAAAACGCCTGTCCTGTGATATAAAAAATACAAAAGTACGCAACCATGAAAATGCAACATCATTATTTGTCGTCGTAAGTGATCATTGTGCCCCCTTCTCCCGGTTGGTGGCACGTTCACCCTTCAAGCAATGCTTGATGATCCAAGGGTGCTGTTGAACCTGGTCCAGCGGAATTCTCTTCTCGGGGTCAAGCACGAGCAACTATATAATTGTCAGTCATTTGCTACTTGGTGAGAGAGCAAAGGTCTTTTGACTTACCCTCTTGATCAAATCTCTCGCCTCTGCGCTCACAAACGAAGGAATCGTCATGTCGGCACGGGCAATCCTTCTCTGTGTCATGACTGGGGAGTCCTCAAATGGTGCCTCGCCTACCAGGAACTCATAGGCTAACACACCAAGCGACCAAAGGTCAACCTTTTCGTTGTAGTAGTTGTCCTGGCTGCCGGACTTGAGCATCTCCGGGGGCAGGTAGTCGAGGGTACCGCACATGGTCTTGCGGCGGTTGTTGGGGGCGTGTACACTCCAGCCAAAGTCGGAAATCTTGAGTTCGCCGTGGATGCCGACAAGAATGTTCTCGGGCTTGATGTCTCGGTGGATAACGTGCTTGCGGTGAAGATAGCGCAGAGCGCTGGCCATCTGGGCAATGTACTGGGCGGCCTTCCATTCGGGGAAGCGGTTCTCCTTGCGCAAGTGCTTGTACAGCTCACCCTTGCAGGCAAACTCGAGAATGAGGAAGACACGTTTGCTATCGTGGAAGTGACCGTACAGCTGCAAGATGTTGGGGTGTCGCAGGTTGCTCTGAATCTCGATCTCGCGGCGTACCTGCTTCTCGACGCGGCCCTGTTGCAGCTCATTCTTGTGCAGGACCTTGAGGGCGCAGATGTAGCCGTTGCTGCGCTCTCGTGCTAGGTACACACGTCCAAACTTGCCCTTGCCCAGTGGCCGTCCGATCTCGAACATGCCCAGGTGCATGGACTTGATGGTGGGCTGCTCAATCAGGACTGGCACTGGGACCACTGACTTGCGGTCCTCGGCCGACTCTGCAGACGTCCGGGCGCTGCTGGGAAGAGCCTTTCGCTGGGGAGACGGCGGCTGCGAGCCTTTCCACTGTGCTTGTTGTGAAGGAAGAGTGACGGATGCGACAGTGTTTGTGTTCTGGGTCTGTAATGCAACCTTGTACATGTTGGATCTATTCGTATTGTGCGACAATTGTGTCGTTGTGACGGTGGCCTAGCAAGACAGGTAGCGATTAGTATTGCAATACTCACTTGAACGGATCACCGCTGTTCATATCACTCACCTTTGACTTTTGGTAGAGCTTGCTGGAGTCGCCGAGGCTGTTCTCGTCGTTGACGGACATGCGCTCGAAGCGCGATTCCAAAGTCCTGGCTGCCATGGCACCTGGAAGTTCCTGCTGACGAGAGGGATATCGGAAAGGCTTCAGCTGGGGTATGGTGGTTACAAAGATGAATGTTCAAGATTGAGAAGAGGAGAATTGGAGATGAAAGGAATTTGAATGAGGTAAGATGTAACACCGTTCCAGGTTGTGTGGTGTAAGTCCTGGTAAGTGGGCGCCGGAGAAAGGGCTACTGTTTTGGCGCTAAAGGAGGACTGGTCACCACAGCAACCACGGATGCAGGCCCCAGATTCTCGGCCATGTGAAGCTCAAATCGCCCACATCGCCCACTAGCTTTTTCGGCCTGTCTTGGGTTTTCTGCTATTGAAAATATGGTCTTTTGACTATTTGCAATTGATTGCGACCAATTCATTGATTTTTCTACAATATTTTTGTTGTGTCATCTTGAATCAATCCATTATCACCGCCTGTCCGATCTCGACATTTTCCGCTGCCAAATATACGTTGCCGCACCGCCGCCATCACTAGACTGTGCCGTTGGCCCAGAGATGTAACCTAAGCACTACCGTACGCTATTGATTGCATTTTGAGCCTTGACCATCGTACAGGTGCTCCTCCAAACAGAGTATGAGCTATTCACCGCTGAATGTCAGATTGTCGGACTTGACCCTATATTGCGTCATTCTTGGTTAATGCAAGAATCGAGTTTTTACGGGGTATTTATTCAATCTAAAAGATGAAATATAGAACAAGCCCAAGCAGAGATGAGTTCGTAACATTTAGAAACCAAAACTCCACGCAGCATCTCTCGCAAACAGTATCATATCTTTAGCAGGATTCTACTTTCAGTGTCTTTGACGCAGTATGCCCTGACAGTTCCTACACATGTGCCTTGACCCTCTTCAGCATCAGGTCTTTCGTCGGATCCGGAAGTGCATCTAATCCCATGGACAGATTGGGATAACGCTCGGTAAAACCTTCTGGCATCTTGATATCGTAGTCGAGAAGGATGCGGGACAGCATCAGCTTGATTTCATTGGCGGCGAAGAAGCGACCAGGACTAGACAATGATGAGCGAACAAATCTTTGAAGGAGAAGTGCCTTTTTCTTTCACCTACCAAGCATGACGACCATATCCAAACGCCATAAAGTCCTTGGTCACGGTCACGAACTGATACTGTTCCTTGTTCTTGTATGCCATTGGGTCCTCTACAGTGCCCTTGCGGAGATTCATAAAACGGTGTGCGTCAAAAGACTGTACCCACAAGATCAGCACTGCATCATCCACAGTAATTAAAGTAGCAAGTTACTCACCTCGGGGTAAGAGTACAACTGAGGATCGTTCAAAATGTTTGCGTGGTTGGCTTCAACCATGGCCCCAGCGGGTAAGTGCGTACCATCGCTCAGCGTGACGGCGTTGTCAACGTAGCGAACGAAGCGGACCAGGCTGCCAGGATTGGTTCGTTGCGATTCCTTCATGACACTATCCAGCAGTTTCATATCATACAAGGAATGGGTAGAGAGGACGCCGCCGCTCTGCTCCATGACGGCGCTGATCTCCTTTCGCAATTCTTGCACGAGATCTGGGCGAATGACCAAATCGTAAAGTCTGCAAGTATACATGTGAGCCACTGTCATTCCGTTGGAACAATATTTTGCAGTCGGGCACTTACACGCTGATCGTTGTAATGGTTGTCGTGTGGATCGCAGCCAAGCTGAGATTGAGTACGATTATGCTTAGGTCATCATCGCCAAGCTTAAAGTCGCCAGTCTTGTTCATCATCCACTGCAGCATATCATCCGGCATTGCGACGCCCTGCTTCATCTGCTGCCTCCTCTCGGCAATGACGGGTGCCAAGAACTCATGGCACTTGCGGCGGTGCTCCGAGACGCTCTTGAGTTCGGGGACGTAGTACTGGCCAATGAACCGCGTCCATGGGGACCACTGCTTGAGTTTGCCAATAGCCGTAAACATGTCTACAGTGTAGGTGATGGCGCTGTTGACCCACTCCTCTCGGCGGCAGAGCTCGGGGCCCAGGAAGATATTGCCGCTCACAATGGCCACAATCCTCAAGAGTTTGGAGTAGACATTCTCGGCAGTCCAGTCTTCACAAGGTCCGAGTTCTTCGGCGACAGCCCGAGCCGTCTCCTCGGTCAGACGACCATTGATGCGGTCTATCCGTCATGTCAGAATAAATAGTGGCCATGGCTATGTGGGACAATGGCACATACTCAGGTTGTGTGTAAGGTCACTGCGGATGAGGTGGATGAGAAAATCAGTGTGAATCTGGTTTCCTCCGAGTCCAGTGTACTTTTGCTCGTTTGACTTGGACGCAGTTAGTGCATAGTCTCTCGTATGAAATGACGGCATACTATACCTTCTCGAATGCCTTTGAGATATTCAAGTAGTCTTCGGGCAAACGTCTAGCTTCATCGAGAAGTGAGCGAGGGAGGACAATCTTCTCTCCTGTATCATGGGTTAGTATCCCTCCTTTTATTATTCATGTCGAGACAAGAATCCCATGCGTGGTTCAACTACGCACCATCCGTGTCCGTCAGTCTAAATGTCGAGTTCTTGAAGCGCTGGTAGCCTTGTTGATACAGATCTTTGGCGTTGGAGAGGTAGGCCTTTCTGCGCTGCTCGACGTTTCCAAGCTCGTTGCCCACTAGGGGAATCTTATCGACGCCACCCTTGGACGACCTAAGTATCGAGAAGAGGAACGCGGTACCGAGTATCAGGGCGACTGAGGCGAACACGGGTACACGGTCCGCCACCAGCTGCATTACTTGATCCATGATGTCCGTGGTGAAGCAACTGATGCTGCACAAACCAGTGTGGTGTCGATCGGAGAGCAAGGGGCACGCGTGAGAGGACAAGTTATATCCTGAACCCTTTATATGTATGCGGCCCCATGTATAGATGGGTTGAATGACAAGACTCGGATCGGACTCAAGGGTCCTCTATCTAACTCGTTCAGGATAGACAATGTTAGACCAGCGGCCAAGTATGATTGGGTAGGATATTGTTCCAGCATGCTCGTCTATTACCATGCAGATTTGCGTCCGACTTGGTTGGTTGGAGGGTGGGCTAAAGAAACCACTAAAATCCTACGGGGGAGAAGATCAATCAATGCCCACTCCATCTGTTTTACCTAGTCGAGGAAATGCTACGACGCTCGCACTCAGGCACTCTAGCCACTGCCTGGTTTCCCCAAGCTGATGATGACCTCGGGTCAGCGCTTGGCAGAAATACTAGGAAGCCTCGGACGAGGGTGCCATCACACTACGCTAGATAGGGGGCCAATGGGTTCACTGTCTTGCCGATCACTGGAGCTCGTTATTAGTTGATTCACAGGTAGCACCTTGCAGTTTGCTAGTTAGAGATTAGACACCAAGTACGAATACGGACCACAGAGAGATCAAATGCGTTGCTCCTAGACAAGTAGAACAAGGTAGGTGGACACGGGAGTAAGGTATCCGAACCGTGTGATGTTTGCTTCTTTAGCGAATGGAATGCACTGCACTCTGGCCACTTGCAGCGGCAAACCTTAGTTCCGCAGTGCAAGGTACGCAAGTAGGTCAATTTGACGCTTTTGCCGAGCCCTCGCTTCGGTGCCTCCCACCTAACATTAGTAGATACTCGGTGTATTATATGCTCGTACTCGGGTTGCCAGCTCGCCTTCAGTCGGGTGCAGTTCATCGGGGCGGGCAGTACCCCCGATCCCGAGTAGGCACTCCTCTCAATCTCAAAGCTTAATAAGTATCAATCCTAGTTTGCCAGCGCATTGAGATGTGTAGTGTGTAGATTCAGCAGTTACTGGTCAGTAGTAGAAAGGTTGCTGTAGCATCGCACGGACTCAACGCTATTAACCTAGGTTAGTGTGTTTTCTGGTGTGTCATCGCTAACCAGTTGGCACACCCAGCCAGGACACTTGGAAATGTAAGCACTTGCAATGGTGGCCGAGTCAGTATATACGCGTATAGAGGCGACTTGTGCGTCCAAAAGTCGTTGATCTTTCATCAGCTAATACGGGGTAGGAGAGCCAGTTCAGGAAAAAAAAAAAGGTAGTCACTCCAGTCCAAGCAGACACGGTTCTGCTACTGTACAGGACAATACCTAGGTAGGCAAGATGTCCAAGGATATCATTATAGGATTGATCCACGATTTACCAGGTATATACTAAAGTACAGTTGCTATAAAAATCCAGTTTGATTCAGCACTAAAGAATATTGGAGGTTTCTTTTTTCTCAAAGCCACACATCCGTCAATTGCCATGCAAACTAGCTAAATTCGTTGCATCTCCATGTCAGATGCCAAGTCTATGATAAGGATACTACAACCTCTTCCTGCTGGCGTGTTCACGTCGTACTTTTGGTCAAAAAATAATGCACTAATGCCCACTTGCCTCCTACCAAGTTACACAGCAAGAGTATAACAACTTCCTGTATGGATGATTGGATGCTCATTTGTCAGCAGCCGATAAGATATCAACGCCACTGCCAGGGCTAATGATTGAGATCGTTATTCTGGCTGGCAAGCTGGCAATCTCGCAGGGGCAAATTCTTCACTAGAGGCACCAATAAAGGATGCATAATGACTTATGCAAGTTTGTCCAACTTTGCTCCCACGGAACACTTAATTGACGGTCGCTAGGTTACTCTGTACACAGGACACACCAAAACATAGACGACACTAACAGCAGGCAACGACCATCTTACCTAATTTACAGAGTGCACATGGTAGGCATTTGGTGCATGACAAACTGTCCTTTTTATTTTCATTTTCTCCCCTCTATTTGTATTCTTTGTTTTCTGGAATGTGAAAGATGACAAGTGTTGATAACCTAGGACCTGGAAGAAAGAAATTTCTATTCTACACGTAAATGAGCCGGCTTGGGTTAATCGTTTTATCGCTAAACGTGACTGGACACGCCCATAGTTGGAAAACCCCCTGGCCCCTCCAAACGCCCCGCGAGACGTCATGATGGATTTGTGAACAAGGCAAACTTTCTCAGCCTCGCCAAGAAAAAAAAAAGGTTGAATGCCAATAAACAATCACGTTTCCTTGCTTGTATAGCTCCTCTCTTTGATTTCTCGATCCATATCAGACAAACGCCTATACACAATCTTCCTCAAAGAAACGGGTGCTATCAAGACCCACCCGTCCAAACACCATGGGCAACACCAAGCACCTCGCTTCGCTACTCACCTCCTGCTTGGCCGTCCTCTCCCTCGCCACGCCATCGCTGGCGGCCACCAAACCCAAAAATGCCATCCTGCTGTCCGAGGTCCAGTCCTTGACGCTGCGCGGGGGCGCCAAGACGGCGCACCGCCGCGTGGCCGCCGCGCCCCAGCTCAAGTGCATCTCGCACCCGAGCATCTGCAAGCTGCACGACGTGGATCTGATGCGCTGCACGAACCAAGGGTCGGGCTACTCGGACGAGGATATCCAGGTACGTGGACTTTGCTTTTCTATACAGATTCTGTAGCCAAAGTCTTTGGTCATGATTTATTTTATATCACTTTTCAATTTTCGTAATGTACACACCATTAACAAGTCACAAAGTGGTCATGTACCGCCAATCTACCGCCGACGCTCAAGCTTGGCAGCACCGACGTCATATGCGAGGGGTACGCCTCTTCTGATGACGAGTACGTTCTCAAGGGCAGCTGCGGCGTCGAGTACCGCCTCGTCCTGACAGACGAGGGCGACAAACGGTACCCGCACCTGCCCAATGGCGGCGGCGGCGGCTGGGGAGGAAAGTCCAAGTCCAAGGAGGGCATCGACTGGAGCGGTATCCTCTTCATGTTTTGTTTTGTCGGTGTTCTCATGTGGATGGTTTACTCAGGTTGCACCAATGCACGCCAGGCTCGCAACAACACCACGACACGGCGGCCTAGGAGCGGCGGGGGAGGAGGAGGTGGTGGATGGGGTCCCGGTGGTGGCGGAGGTGGCTTTGGAGGAGGCGACTGGGGAGATGATGATCCGCCGCCGCCATACAAGCCGAGTAGCAGCTCGTCTTCGCGGGCTGGTTGGCAACCTGGCTTCTTCACGGGCGCTGCAACTGGCGCTGCCGCTGGCTATTATGCGGGAAGTCGTGCCAACCGACAACAACAGCAGCAGCAGCAAAGAGGCTATGGAAGCGGTAGTGCCGGAAGCAGTTGGTTCGGCGGCAGCGGCTCACCCTCCTCAAGCAACAATGATTCTGGCTCTAGCAGTAGTGCTCGTTACGAGAGCACTGGCTTCGGCAGCACAAGCCGACGATGAGCCTTGACTACCATCTACTTCAAGTGAAATCAATCCATCAGACTAAATTCAAGCAGTACCTGCCATTGATAAGCAGTGCAAGATGAATTGCAATCGGATGGGCCAGAAGTCGAGACAACAAGACTGTCGTGAAGTGATCCACGGAGAGGTCCGTAATTATTAAAATATTCTTGGTCAACCACATGGTTTCATAGCTCAGACTATTTGTCGGCTGGCACAAGTGAGATGTGCTTGACTTTTCTTCATCGGTTGGTGATTGATTTATGACGCTATCTACTGCGATGATGACATTATCACTGTGGGCCTCCAGAGACGCCTATGGCTTGATATCCTGCCTAATTCAAGACACAACCAAGCCGGTGAGACCGTGTGCAGGCAGCGAGACATCCAAATCCGTCAAGGGTATATCATCGAGCTCATATCTTTCTACTGCTTGTTGTACACGACAGCACGTTGGATCCTTCGACCCTATTGCTGTTTGCGCCCTAGCACCGGTTTTCTAGTAACCGTGAATCGGGCAAACGCAAGCCACGAATTGCGAGAGGCTCCCGTAGTGCAATTTTGGTGCCATGTACTGCCGGCATCTTTCGAGGTTGCAGAGGGCAGCGTAGCAGTCGGAGGGCAAGCAGGATCCTCTTCGTGCATCGGAGAATGGTGGGTAACTTCGCTATGCGCCTTCTGCTTGCCCATATCGTCGCTCTAAAATTAACAAAATTCCTACAGGATACTTCCACACGTCTCTTGGTTTGCGGGATGTCCTCCATAGTATACACACTACGCGGGTGAGTCCTCGAGAATTATTGACGCCAGCAGCTTGCAGAGCAATCTGCTCGTAGGAAAGCCAGGATCGGCGTTGTATCATGATCTCAGGTCGCTCATCTCACGGACTGTGAGTGACGTGATATTCAATCTCGCTTTATCTCGATTGGATGTAGGCATTTTGGGGATTCGATGGTTGGTTACAGACAGTTGTACGTGTCTGCGCCCAGTTTATTGTTCGCTTCTAGAGATGAACAGTCATAATATCTAGCTTGTCGAACATCTTGCTGCAGTTGGGACACTTTCGCATGCGGTTATTGATACGGTCGTTGATACACGTGCGGCAAAAGATGTGACCGCAGGTCTTGATAGCAGTGTTCTTGAAGTTGTTATGGCACACTGAACAGGTGGCAAGTTTCTAGTGACAGTCAGCACAGCACGGATCAAATGGTCAAGAATGCAATTTAACTTACCCGGAGCATCTCTTCCTCCTCGGAAGAGTTGCTTAGTGACTTGGTCTTCCACTTGTCCCTATCCTTCGACATGCTCTCAAGGCGGACCTTGAGCTTCTCGTTTTCCGTCTCCAGAATTGAGGCGCGCTCTTTTGCTGTGGCCGAGGCTGCGTCCTTTGACTTGGCTAGATTGTTCAGTTCTGTTATCTGAGTCTTGAGCGCCTCGTATCGCTTTAAAATCTCCGCGTTGTTTGACTCGGTGCGCTTGTTCTCTGAGATCGTGGTGGCATTTGCTTGCCTCAAGTCGGCAAGCTGCTTCTCCAAACTTGCTGCCAAAGCTCGGTTCTGGATCTCATTCTCCTTGAGCTGAGAGATGACTTCCGAGTTCTTCAAGTTGTGCATGCGCACTTTCTTCAACTCCTCCGTGAGCGCATCATGATTCCGGCGCGCGTCAAAATATTTTTGGTTAGCCTTGCCCTTTTCCGCAAGAGCAGTAGTGAGACGTTCCTCCACGTGCACCACATCTTGAACCTTCTTATTGGCGGTAATTTGATACTTCTTGACCGCCGCCGCCATTGCCGGTAGCTCATTGTTGATGCTGTCAAAGTCCTTTTGGAGTTTCTTGTATTTCTCGCGAAGTTCCTCAGCTGAGAGACCGTCTATCTCAGGCCGTGGAGTCATATCGGTATCTTCGCTGGGTGTCAACCGCTGTACCTGGGATTCCAATTGGCGTATCCAGTCCTCATTTGCGCTGACCAGTGACTTCAGTTCTTCTAAAGCAACGCGTTCCAAGTCTTTGCTTGATTGTAATTTCTGTACTTCTTGAACAGCTTCGTCGCGCATTGCTCGAATCCGGACAAGGTTTGCGTCGGATTGCTGTAACTGTTCCTCAAGCTCTGACGTGAATTGTTGAGCCTCACTTTCGAGCCTTTTCTTGTAAGCTGTACGTTCACTCTCAAGTTTGCTGTTGGCCTCGGCCATCTTCTTGTTTTGGAGTTCGAGACTATTGATCTTTTTGATCAAATCTTCTTGGCGGCTTTTGAATGACTTGAAAGCATCTGTCCGAACATAGTCTTCATCCGTCAGGCCGGTGAGCTTGGTCTGAAGGTTCGTGAGCTCTTCTTGTAGCTTCTTGCTTTCCGCCAAGGCCGTCTCCAAGTGCTGTTTCTGCTTGTCGCCTGCAGCAGTGGCTTCTTTGAGTTTCAGTTGAAGCTCTGCACTGTTGCCATTAGCTTCCACGACACCGTTATCCTGATCGCCTCCCGCTGGGCGGGCGGTAGAGCTTGCTAGAGCCTTTTGCTCAAGCTTTTGTACCTGATTGCTCCGTAGCCGATCCATCTTTCGCTCGGCCTTCATATATCGCAACGTAGCAGTGTTGAGCTGTTCTGATACGCCCTCTCTCTCGGATGTCAGGCGATTAACCTTGACGAGCAAGTCCTTCTGGGCGGCCAAAAGATTATTGACTTGCGATTCAAGAGTGGCGACATCCGGTTCGCTGTCTCGGTTCGTAGTCATGCGGGCAAAGATGGTCTCAGTCATCTCTCGGATGATTGATGCCTTTTCAGAGAGGTGGGATTCAAGCTCCTTCATATCCTTAAATGTAGTGCCTGTAGGGAATGCCTCCTTCTCGGATCCAGGCTGGAATGGAATCGTCTTCTCGGCAAGTAGTTTGAGCTCTTGAAGGAGCTGAAGAAGAGTCAGCATTCTAGCTCATTTGTTGCGCCTGGGGGGTAATGATCTTACCTGGACCCACCATGCATCTACTACTCTAAGATGGTCATCGTGGTGTACAGAACGGCGTTCCATCTCTTCCAACCTGATCTCCAAAGTACTGCATGTGCGCTTGTATTCTTGCATCTGTCGGTAAATAGCGCCCTTTGTGTATTCCTAGCCAAGCCATGTCTGTCAGTGATTCTGTTCTCCCGAGTGACTTCTTCTCTTCTCTTTCTGTGATGCGAATTGTGGCAGCGAGGTGGTTCGGCGAAAGATGGTGGTGGGGTAGAGATAGTTCTTCAGTATAATGACGAACATTTGCAGGCAAAGAGGCTGAGGCTGAGCATCATCACTGGGATGGTGAGTATAAACCCGCGAGAGAAGCAGCGACGCAAGGTAGAGGCAAAAGGGCCAGCCACCCAAAAAGCGTCGAATCATCCAGAAACGGGTGTATGCCATCATGTCTTTGAAGGCGCAATGGTGAAGTGGATGAATGTAGAGCAGGAGGGATAAGGGGGGAGGTGGACACCTACGTCGATCCAAACGTCCTCCTTCGCATCGTCATCTTTGGCGACATTGGCACCGCCATTGATTTGCTGACGTTTGCTGGGAGGAGCGATGTCGTCGCTTGCACTGAGGGCGGGTCTCTTGCGGTCCTCCATATTGACGAGGGGGGACAGTGGCGCCGAGGATTTGCTGGTAGATAGAGGCATGAAGAGACCGCCGAGCGAAGGTGTCTGACAATTGGGAAGATGTGGAGCAATGCAAATCCGCTTGACGGCGATACAAAGAAAGAAGATTGCAGAGCCTTGTCAATGCCCAGCAGGCTAATGAGGCAGCGGCGGCGACAACAACGGCGAGGCGAGGCGAGGCGAGGAATCCAACGTTGAAGTGAGGTAAGCTGGCCTTGCCCCCGTGACACACCACGTACGGCGTGTGAAAGAAAGATGTGCTTCAAAGACCAGCTGCCAGGTCGTCAAGCTCAGATGCGTCGAGATGTCATGAATAGGCTCCTCCAATGCCGCGAACTCAAACGACGCGACGATGAAAGTGGGAGGAGATCAGAAGTTGGCGTGTGGTTGTAGGAAGTCCTCCAGGAGGTCGAGGTTGAGATGAAAACTTGGACTTGCCTTCTGTCGCCCGTCCCGTTTTCCCAACGCGAGCGAGAATTTACGCTAGGCCACAGGAGGCATAGCACAGAATACAGCAGTTGATTACGGGGGCCATTGCAGATTAGCGTGCCGGGCTCCACGCTAGTGGTTCTTATCATCCATCAAGATCCCTCCTTGCCCCTCCCCTTCAGAAAAAAAAGAGCAGCAGCTTCATGACTGGGTGTCGTCTTCAATGATTCCTAGACCAATTTTACGCGACCGGTTCGATTCATCATTCTGCGCGTCCGTTTGCGCCTTTTAGAATAATTACATTTCTTTGCCAACCCTGGTCTCACAAGACATATGCGATACATTCTTTTCCCCATCCGTTAACTACGTACAACCTTTGCTTTCAAAAATTGGTCGAATCCGACTTCGACTGCCACAACTGCCTGCTTCCCTTCAACATGCGGTTGCATTGATTGTGACTCAACAGCGGACTGAACTCGCATTTCTTCATCAACTCGACTGACTTTCTCCAACATGAGTTCCATGCTGAAGAGGTCTGGCGGTTTGGCTTTCAAGCCAAAGGCCGGCCGCCGTCCTGGTGCTGCGTCTGCGACTGCATCACAAAACACAACTAGAGCTCCCACTGCAGAACTTTCACAAACGCCAGTTCCAGCTTCTACACCGACCCCCGCTCCAATCCCCACCGCATCGTCAACAGTTGAGGAGCGCACTTCGAATTTAAAGCAAAGCAACGCGACAGCAGTCACTGCAAACGAACCCAATGCTGTCCCAACACCTCCACCATCCAAACCGGCTGAGCCAGAGGCACCCGAGGTCGTTGCATTGGCGAAGCCCACTCCTCCAGCCATCACGACATCAAACGAGGCAGAAATAAGCTCTTCCGAAGGCAATTCTACAAACAGCAATGTCACGAGCGGCTCACTTCCGGCGACCGCCACTTCTCGCAACGCAGGTCCAGCGCCAGAGGAGACCCGTTTGGATCCTGCGCTCGCAAACCTCAACAAGTCTGTACCTGATGCGTCGTCCTCTGCTCCCTTGCCTTTGGACTCCACGTCATCCAATACAGAGACGCAAAGCTCAGTATCACAACCAACCAATACGCCTACTGTGTCAAGAACAGATGTTACTGGTGACACTTTGATTACTGCCTCCACATTGGTGGTACCGAACGCAGGTTTACCCAGTCCTGCCACCACTGCCATTAGTCAGCCTTCAGCACAATCAGATCCTGCGCTCACCTCGCCATCCCCATTGCCAATCCCCGGATCTGCCCAGAATAGTGCCAACCCGACTCCGCCTCTCACAAACGGCACCGCTATTGATTCATCAGTTGAAGCGCCAAAGAAAAAGCGACAATACAAAAAACGCAAACAGCTTGTGGAGGGACAAGCAACAGAGACTGGAGAGGATGGAGCAGCTCCCCCTAAGCCCAAGCGACAGAGGAAAAAGAAGATCACGACTACAGAGGCAGGGCAAGATGGCCAGCCAGCTGCTAATGGAGAAGCAGCACCTGCAGCACCCAAGCGCGTTCGGCGCCGGCAGACTACTCCCAACCCAGAGGACATACCCGAAGATGGACGGCCTGATCACACAACCACCAAAATTGGTGATCTGACAAGAGACTTGGGCATTGGCAAGAAATTCAAGCACGCCGATCTCATCGTGGAGCGTCAGCGGCAAGCTCGGCATGACGCCAAGCTACGCAAAATTGAAAAACAAAAAGTTGCTATGGGCAAACTAGCACCGGAAGACAGCCAAGCGAATGATTCACGTGCCGGTACACCTGCAGCCGCCGACAACAATAATTCGGATCAAGCAACTAAAGCCAACCGCGGCCCTGGTATCGATTTCGATATCATTGATGGCCAGATCATGATCAATCAAAGCTCGCTTGTCATCAACCAGCATGCGGCAGAAGGTGATGTCCAACTTGAAACAGTTGAGGAAGACGAGTTTACACATCTGACGACGTCCGCTTCATACCTGCGCCCCTCACGAGCCATGGGATCGAATCAATGGGACGATGCAGACACGGAGAAGTTCTACAAGTACCTGAAAATGTTCGGTACTGACTTTGAAACAATCAGCCACATGTTCCCTGGCAGAAACCGGCGACAGATCAAGTTGAAATTCAACAGAGAAGAAAAGCACCGTCCCAACCGCGTGAATGCTGCTATCATGGCCCGTGGCGAGAAGAGAGTTGCCATTGATATCGACGAATACAGAGCCAGCCGTGTCAGCGATGAGAACTGGATCACGCCGGATAAATTCAATGCTGAGCAGGAGTTGATACGGAAGGAACAAGAGAAGGAGCTTGAGGCCCGAAGACAGGAGCGTCGTGATCTTGGTCTCTTGGAGGACGATCCAGCCACCAAGAAGACAGGCGATGACGAGAAAGGAGCAGCAGAACACGGCGAAGAAGTTGAAGAAATGCTTATCGACGATGCTGATGTTGGTGGTACATCAACTATGATCACGACATGATATGAAAAGCCCGGCTTCCCGGATACTGGCAACCGAACGACGAACTATGGACGCAATCGTGATTGCAAGGGTGCTTGTTTTGATACCCTTTTCCTTAGCACACTTGCACCCTTTGCAGACTGCACTCGTTGTTTTTGGTATCTACCTGCCAGCCAGACGGCTTGTGCTTCTCGAATCATTCCAGACGGACATGGGCATTGGAACCTGATATACGGAAAGTGACCCGTCCTCTGGCTGGTTCCTATGATACCAGTGAGGAATGGCTCCGATCTTTGTTGCTTTGTTATCAGAAACCAGAAGACTTTTGCTGGAAATTCCGGAAATCAAAAGCAAATGTACATACATGAGAGCAAGCGATAGTGGAGGACTCAGAATTGCCAACATTGAGCAACTAACTTAGCAAGAAAAAAAAATTCATGAAATTTGAACGAACCAATTGACACGGGAAAATGTGCAAGTTTGATAAGACCAAGACGACGCACAAAGCTGAAGTATTGATTATCAAGCGTGAATGATTACTCATTTGCCTTGGAACTTGGATCCAACCCTGAGCGACTGTACATTGTAACCTCTGATCAAGGCTTTGAGTATCTAAATCCGACAGTATCTTCTATCTTTCAGATGGCTGCCTATTAAGTCTGACACAAAGTTGTATGTCTTGTAAACTGAACCTATCATTGTCTAAACATGAGCAAGGTTGTTTCTTACGCCCATTCATGATATAACATACTTGGTTCACCGCGTAGCTCTTTTCATATCTTTCTTCGCACTGGCAGCCCCTATCTGAGCTCAAGGTCGAGGCCATGTGATCACTCCGTCGAAACCTATTTGAGCTTGTGGCAACACGGGAATGCAATCATCAATGTGCTGCCGAGTCCCCGAAAGAAGACGTCCAACACCTGTTCGGTAATGGTCCGCGGCGCCATAATTCTATAATAATCCAACTCTTTTGCAGGACCCCACGTGATTTTCATGATAGAAGTATTCAGTATTGATACTGCTGTTGCCATGATAGCTTCCAATACGTCCTTTGTAGCAAGGTTCAGTGCTTTGCCTTGCCATGTTATCGTGAGAGATCTTCTAGACGTAACGCAACGTCATCTGTGGCTGGGCACTGGTCAATCGTTGGAAAATTGTGAAGTTTCTGTCCATGTTTGCGACGAATTGGGTATGAGTCGAATGTCAAGATACGACTTGACAATCACCTTCATCCACTCAAAAACCATTCCGCGACTTTTGTTTTACTTCTCTTTCACTAGGGCATTCTTCTTCGTCCTCTCCGCTGATAGAAGACACGTCTTCGCTGCCCCATCCTTCACCTAAATCGTCACGGCCATCCTCAAAGCCCACCAAATCGTCCGCGTCTCTCTGCCACTGCTCCTCTTCTTCATATAGCTCTGCCAGCCTGGCCATCACCTCCCGAGGCAGATCCAGGAGGAATTCCAGTCGCGAGGCCGGCATCTTGGTATTTCTCAGAATGGAGCGGGCCGTCAGGACATAAACCTCGACGAACCGATCCCAGAGCGCCCGATCGAGGCTCGGCCGGGGAAAATAGGGGTCGTTGCCGTGCATGGAGACGGCGAAGCGCTCCACCAGCTCTTCGGCGCTGGGGCACTGACTGCCGCGCGCCACAAACGGCAACAGCGTCGTCTTGTCGTAGTCGAGCATCCACATGCGCGCCTCGGGCTGCTCCGGCATGGCGGCGCACTCGGCCCGGTCTCGGTATCGTGGGAGCCGGGGCCCGCCCAGCACGAACTCGACGTCCATGCCGTCCAGACAGGCCGCCCACTGGCACGTCGCTATACCGACGCCTACTTCCTCGGCCAGCATGCACGGGTCCAGTCGAGCCTCGTCCATCTGGTCAAGGTACAGCGGTGCGTTCCTTAGACCACTGTCTAGATGCCATTGCCTCCGTTGCCGCTGCCGTGACGAAGAAGGCGCTTGGGCGCCGAGGTAGACGCGCACCAGACAGTCACGACTTTCGTCATTGGCACGCAAAGTCTCACGCAGCGCCGGCTGGACGTACAAGTCCACGAGGGCATCGCGCACCGTGGCCGCAATAGGTCCGATACGTTCCACCTCCCACGCAGAGGGGATCTCGGCGCCGGTAAAGTCCTCGGGCCCACCGTCAGAGAGCTCATCATCGACAGCCTCGAGACGGAGGCCTCTGCGGCCCAGTCGGCCTAGGTCGTGGTCATCGAGCATCTTGCGCGGCCGGGGCACCAGGGGCCGGGGAATGTCCAAGGTCGCGGCCTCATCGTCGGGGAGGGGGCCCGTGAAGAGAGATACGGGCGACCGCGGCGCCCGGGACGCATTATAGGCTCGGAGAGCGTGGTTAAAATCGCGCTTGATGGCGGCGCGGTCCGAGCCCACCTTGATGGCGACCTCGGTCGGGAGGCCGGCGTGCTCGTAGACAGTGCCGCACGTACCCCGGCCAATGACCCGAAAGTACTGCGGATGCGAAGGGCTGCACTGGGTTGAGGTCGGCGGCGGCGCCGATGCTGACGAACATGGCGGTGGCACCTGAGGAGTCTTTCCAGCCCCATCAGCGGCCGCCGGCACTCTCGTGTTAAGTTTGACACGGAGGCATTGTTGAGCTTTGGACATGGCCGACCGATATCCCTTTAAACCTACCAATCGATAGGAATGTCAAGTCTGAGTTAACTTTCGATTGATATGTTCAATGCCTTTTCTGGACAGATCAGAAGATTCGAAAAGGGGCCCTAGTCGACGATTCATCATGATAAGATGGTACTCAAAAGACAATCAATGAAACTCGAAGGCTGAATAGAAGATCACTCAAGCACAAGTCACTTTCGAGTAGATCAAGTAGACGATGCCTCGCCCAAGCAAAGCATTGCCTAGGAACAGCCTTTTGCGAGTATCAATTTATCTGAGTTAACAGGTTGTGCAGCGGGCGTCACGTTGGGCATGAAAATTTTGTGGGACGATCTATTGAGTAAATCGCGATGACGTTCCAAGCTCGAGGTTCTGGCAGAGGCTAGAAAAGACCGTCCCACAAGCTAGGCAAATTCCCCCAGGTATTCACTCGGATACCAGGATGAATTTGGCATCTTAGACCGTTGCCAATCTATACTCCTCTCTTCGACCTTAACCATTTCTGGCTGGTATCCTTGGCAAACGTGGACCTCGAGATCATTGCAAAATACTTGCACCTACACGGTATCAAAGTGTGATCTGATCCAGAGAAATGCGAGGAGTATGGGTTTCCGCAATGGGACACGTGAGCAGGAGAACATATATGCTCACGTGCTGACACTCGCCTGCAGTGTACATCACACGTTGTGTCTTTTCCCCGACTAAAACAATGACTGGACGACAAGTAATCTTTATTGTCTGTTCCACGGCCTCGCGAGCCCTAAGGAACTGTCATCCCGTGCCTCCGTAAAAAACTTGTACTACTTGGTATATGTTCCTGCCTGCCGCAGGAGATCATGGCAGCTCAGCCGACCGTCCGTTTTCCCAAAACACCTCTGATGATATCCGCAGCTGACTCTAGCTGCCGCACCATTTCGCTAACAATACAGGGCCGCAGTGTACAGAGCATATAATGAGAATATGCAGTCTCCCAACAGCCATACTATACACTATATACCTCGGGAAAGCCACTTCCCGTGTCTTGTCCCAAGGGGGGTATTCCGTCATAGTCGTTGATCGTCCGCGCCGCCTTCTTGGCGTGGTATTTGCGCTTTCATATCGTCTCATATCGATGGTATTCGTTGCAAGTCATTGCAATACGTCGCCATTTTTTGTTTTCCTCTCCTGTGCCTTTCATCCTGCAGCCTCACTGGATGCAGGTGACGTGCTACCCTTGTCTCGCCTGAAAAGTTTCAGCGCATTCATCCTAAAACGGCTGGGCTTCTTCTTCAGCGACTTGTCCGCATTTGGTGACCTATCGGGCGAACTGTCCAGCTTGAGGGTACTGCCATTAGAATGCTCCTCAGCCGAGCTGACGGCTTCCGAATGTGGTGCCTCGAAATCGAGGTAGTTCGGCTCAGGCGCTGTGACAGTTGTGACTGGAAGAGCCGAGCTAGGCCGTTCTAGCGATTCTTGACTTCGAATGCTGGTGCCTTGAGTACTGGGCGAGAGCGGCATCTTCCCCGTAGTGGCACTAGTAGCTTGCGAAGCCCAGTCTCCCGAGTATGGACCCGATGCACTACCTTCTGTCGTCTCACTACAACGCTGCTTTGCGCTGCGACCGAGGATACTATTTTCGTCGTCGACAACGTGGAAAGGATCACTGGCGGCAAACTGTGTGACCTCGTCATAGTCGCCGGATATACCATTGACTTCCTTGTATTCGCCAGGTATATTGGGGATTTGCTGTTCCTGCGAAGGAGGTGAAGATCCAGCTTTCTTCATTTCAGAGTGGTTTTCTGAAATGGTCTGGTAGGATGCCTCCAGGGTTGTACCAGACGATGAGTCTGGCGAGTCTTCTGTGGGGGCAACTATTTGAACCGTGCGAGGAGAGCTTGTGCTGCCTTGCCTGTCTCGCAACTCCTGCAAGTCCTTGTTGGCGGCATCTACTAAGGGAGAGAGTTCCTTCACAGCAGATTCAAAAGTCATCTTGTTTCCGTCCAGAGCCTCAACCGTGTACTTCATGCCAGGCAGGACGTCGGCAACGCCCTGAAACAGTGGGATTGCAAACAGCTTCATAAAACCGAGCTGAGCGGTAGCCAATGCCAGAAATTCCTTCTTTGGTTCCGAGATCAAGGAGGATGGTATACTGAGCTGGTTCTCCATCGAGGCTTGGCGTGAGAACTCGTCGCATAGGATATGCATCCATTGTAAAGCAGCATCATAGTGCCGAGCCTGTGGGCCCACTGTTAGCACTGCACGACTGGATCAATAATACCATAATACTCACTACATTGCTGATATCTGCGCACTTAATCAGCAGTGCACATATCAAAGCGGTCTCGACCTCGGTGGTTTTCTCGTTCCACCCCTTCGTAGAGTTATTTGCGCTCAGCTTCTCCTGTAGCGTGCCGAGCTTGGCCATGTAGTCGAAGTGGAGTCCCATGTCAGTCGCAAGAATGGAACTGATCATGAGGTTCCTCATTTTCGTGTTCTCAAAGACTTTTGGCCAATATCTCCGCAGAATCTGCGAGAATGCGGCGCAGTGAAAGGATTCTAGAACAGATCGGTCGTTGTACAATTGCGCCAGTGGCGCATTGAGTGTTACCAGAAAGCCGTTGTTGACGCCAGGGTGACCAACGTCGTGGCCAATAGCACTGACGAGTAGCGTCAGTGTCTCGAATGGTCTCAACAACTCGGCGAGAGGCGTCTTGGGAGTAGGTGTTGCATATATCCCTGCCTCTAGAGGATACGGTGGCAAGGCACCGACCTGTAAGAGGAAGTGAAACGTCGCTTGCAGGACATCTACGGCGTGGCGGAAGTTGTGGTAGGGAACAAAAGTGTTATAAGCAGCTCGACACGCTACCAAAAAGGTTGTGAGTTGGTCTATGCAGCTGTCAGCCCACATGGTTACACGGGAAGACGCAGAGTGCGTCAGCTAGGCCGTAACTTTGATCGCAACTTACCTGTTGGTATCCGCCATTGTTCTAACTCGGGCATGGTGAGAGCATGCTTGAACATGAGACTTGCGGCAATGAGGAGCTGGTCATCGTCAAAATCATGAGCGCAGAAATTCCACTTTCCGATGGCGCTAGCAATTGCGGCTCTTTCATCAGAGGACACGGAGATCCTGACACTTCCAATCACGACATCGCCCTCATCTCCAGATCGGCAGATGCCGCCCATGAGGCCAGACACCATTGCTTCTCGAAGATAAGAAAAGGGCTGCTCCTCGTGAACGCCCACCCACGACCTTTTCCGTCCTCTTCTGATCTCCATGAGGGCTTGCTGCTCCTTTAAAGCCTCCTTATGTGCTCTATACGCGTGCACCTCGAGAGTGGTCAATGTCTTCACATGCAATGGGCTAGCGAGAACGTCAATAGCGCCAGAATCCAGACATTTCCGCAGGAGGGCTCTGCTCGCTAACGAATTGCTCGATGGATTGGTCGTCTCGGTGAGATATTCCGCGTAGGAAGTTTGGCCGGTCTCGTCGTTTGAATCGTCCGACGGAGGTGGACTTTGTAACAAAGGATAGGTAACAACGGAAATGGGCACAACAAGTTTTGAAAGGTTTCGAGAGTGTAGCTCGTACACAACCTTGTCGAGCAATTTCAGCCCGTAAATTTCACGGTCTGTACCATCTTGATCCGTGCTCGATGATGCTCTAGAGTGTGGCGAATGATCTCGCGAAGACGGCTCGGCCGCTCTTATCTGCTCGTCGTGGGGGGTATCTATCAATACAAGGGTAGGTTTCAGTTCAATGCTGGATGTGTCGTGTAAATCGAGAAGTATTTCTATACAGTCGGCGCCAGTGGCACACACGTGGACTAGAACGGTAGAATGTTAGCGGCATTCAAGAATGCAATCATGCACCATGGCACACGTACTCTCACGAAAGGCATCAATCAGCAGAGCGAGATTCCCTCGCAATTCGAGAGATTCGCCCAATGTCGCCTCCAGATCCGAAATCGTCGAGTCCGTGGTCAGCTGGGTCGTGTTGCGCACGTTGTGATCAACGTATATGACGTTGCATGTTGCGCTGTCCATAATGGCGAATAGCTGGCAGCCAGTCAGGCGACTGGTGCACTTTCGCTGAGCGTATGCGATTACAGTGATAACTCAGTCGGCGTCGTGATGTTGGCTAAGTAATGCAGACTGTCGTCTGGTGCGTGACGTCGTCGACCATTCGTCCGTGTCCTGGCACATACAGCTCAAATGAAAGGATCATAGGAAGGAGCCAACCCTGAAGACCAATGCAGCCGGGAGAAGTCCAAATTGGTAACGAGAACGAGTCGGCGACATGAGACGATAACGTTCAAAGAGAAGTAAATCGTTGATGTTAGCAGCGCAACGATCGCAATAAAGCGGTCGATGGCTGCAGAGGCTCTTTTCCCTCTCTTTCGATTGATCAGTGGGCACTATGCAAGGCTGTCCAGGCAAGTGACACGCGAGGGTATCGCGATAGTTCTGAGAGTACGGATTGTAAATAAGAACTGGTGGTGGAGGCGAACTGGAGGCGATCGCATGTCTTGGAGTCGCAAGAGTAGAGTGGTTATGCTATAACGGGAGGGGGGAGGCAGGTTGCGTGCGTGCGTGCGGCGTCGTAGTGGTAATAGTAGTAGTAGCAGTAGTAGTAGGTCGGGATTCGGGGGCTGTTGTCAGTTTTGGGGCGTATGGTTCCTGGCAGGACGGGAAGTCAAGTCCAAGTCCGAGGGCATGGACGGGTCGGAGTCGAAATCGAAGAAGTTAGAGTCGTCGAAAGCGTAAGTAGTAGGGGTGGTGGAAAAGGTAAGGTAGGTAAGGTAGCGCAAATGCTGTGTGGTGCAGTAACGCAAAGCAAAGGGATGCGATGCGATGCGATGCGAGTGGCTGGGGAACCACGAAAGAGTAAGTGAGTGAAGGAGTGAATAAAGAGTGAGGAGAGGGACGACCAGCCAGTCCCAAACAGTCTGAGGTGTCGAAAGAAGAGGTACAAATCAGGTACAGACAGATTAGACGGACAGACGGACAGGTTGCCAGTCAGTTCCGTATGTAGAGGTAGGTAGGTAGTAGTAGTGGAGAGGGAGAGAAAGATTGAAGAAAGCGAGAGGAAGACTCCGGACTGCAGCAGTCTGCAGCAGCTGCCTCGGCGCAATTGACTGGGGGTGGATCGAATGCGGATGAGCCCTGATTCTTGGTGGGAACAGGCAAATGGCCATTCTATTATTGTCTGGGCTGGTGGGGAGGGGGGGAACTGAACTGGAGGAGGGAAGGTGACCGGAGCGCCTCCAGATATCGACTCCTACCCATTAGCTTACCTAGTATTGAGTAGTAGGTAGTAATGATAGGTATGTAGGCAGGCAGGCAGGCAGGCCAGGCCAGGTACATCCCATCACCCAGGTAAGTACCTGTAATTCTTTGCTGGTGATGAGCATGGACAGATGGACAGGGCAGAAAAAGACGACGAAAAGGGACAATGACGAGTGCCTACATATCTGATATATTATCGTCGGATGGACATCGCAATTATCTAGTCGCCCCCTGTTTTTGTCTCTTTTTGCTTTTTATGTATAAGAAACGCTACAAAACGTGGGTGCGATCCAGTCATGTGTGAGTTGACATCCAACACCAGCCGGTCCAGAGAAAAGAGAGGTTTGCACTATCGGGAAAAATCAGATGGGGCAGGGGGGAGAGAGAGAGAGAGAGAGAGAGAGAGAGAGATGATGTTAGAAACCAAGGGACATTTGATCCGAAGGTCAGTGTTCTACATCACCACCTTTACTACAATATCCTGGGATCACTGGAGAATATTGCTCAAGCAAGCAAGACCAACACCGAAGGAGGTATACAGGAGGTACCTATCTCCTGCAAGATAGCAGCAGCTCAATGCTTCTGCTGCACTTCCTTAGATGGACATACCTCGCACTAGGGAGAGGGGGCACTGAGGAAGGTTCAGGTTCAGCTGCCGGGTGTTGATTGAAAGCGCATACAACGGGTCTTTTAGTGGCACGGCAGACTGGAACAGGTTGTGTACAGCACGCTGCAAGTCTGCTGTGACCCTGATACAGGGAGACCGGGGTCGAGCTGCAGTGCTGAAATGGGGGGGAGGAAGCGTGGGAGTGGATCACTTCATCAGAACGGACTCTTGAGGCACAAATATTTTTTTCTTTCGCTTTTAATGAACGAGACAACAGACTGGATAACCTCGTGCCAGTCGCGCAGGAGTGCTAGGGGAGCAGCAATCTTTATCCAATTACGCACACTGTTTTTTTCTCCTTCTATTCTTTCAATAATTATCCATGTCTAGTAAAACAATTGAAACCAGAAAAACAAAAGGTGTATTCTCGATCTCCGACTTTTCTTTTCTCTCTGCTGCAGGTCGGCATGTTAATGTCTGTCATGCAAGTGACATGAGTTTTGTAATTTGATGCAGCATATCATTATGATTTTGTCCAAGGCGAAATAAAGTGTTCCCACAAAGTGACGGGCACGTAGCTGCACGTATTCCGTGCCGCCCTGTATAGCCCCATATGCTCGCTGGCTGGCGAGATTGTGCTCGCTCCTCAAAAGTCTCCATCCCGTTCGTATTACATTACAACCCAACGCGCCTACCGTCAGGGGGAGCGAGCACGTAGCAGTAAGTGCAGCACTATGTAATAAAAAGGAACCATTGAATTGCATCGTGTACATCATGGACAAAAGCTTCTTATAGTCCTGAAGAAATTTGTGTCAAGAAGAAGCAAAATAGACAACCGTCGCGTGTCCTGATTGCAATCCAGTGACTTGCGACGTAATCCTTACTGCGCTGGGGGTACTTTGGTTCGGGCATTTTTGTTTCCAAAACGCACACACAAAGACTGGGCCTCATACCCCAAGTTCCGTGCCTTCCACTCATTGCCTTTCTGCCCTACGTCGAGAATCTAAGCCATATCCAGCTCGTTTCCTGTTGTTCCTCTCCCCCCTTCCTTCACCGTTCCATCCGACAATCCGATCAAAGCACGAAAAAGAGGGAGAAGGGAGAAAGCACGGTACGTACACAACAGCCCACAAGGTAGGTAGCGAGGCCAAGCCAAACTGTGGGTGGGGGGATGGTCAGCATTGGCACCGATTTGAATGAACACCGGCGGGTGCTGGGCGACACTACTGAAAGCTTCCCTGCGGGTGGGCCGCAGTACCCATGCGTCGCGTTTTTGCGCTACCGAGCCTCGTCTGCTTCTGGCCGGCTTCTAGAAAAACTCGTGGAAGCTCAGGAAGACGCGAAGAAGGGGTGGGCTGTGGACCAGCCGGGGCGTTCCCAAGAAAAGTTCGAGATGCCTGCCTACCTCGGACCTGAGCACTAACTAGGAGGCCGCTAATCTGCCCTGGGGCTAGAACGATGGAAGCCAGTGAAGCCTGAGCACACGCTGCACGGCTGCTGCTTCTCCCCACCCACCCACACCACCTCATGCTTGACACCAGTGAAAAAGCGGACACTCCAATCAGTCCAACAGATCCCAAATCCCGCCGCCCTCCCATCATCGCCCATGTCGATCGCAAGAGGGGGATGGCGTCACAGACTGGGTCAACCAAGAAGCTCCCCATACCCCCGTCGTCGGGTACCTGTCTGAGGTCCTCTGTCCGGCGGCGTCGAATTACATACTTTTGTGCTACCGCATGTAAGTAATGACCAAGAATTCCAGAATGGGCCCGCCCACACCATTACAAGCTCTCACACTGGACAATGCTTTTCTGCTTCTCTTGCCTGCTGAGGCTGATTCTCTGCTTCTAGCTGCTGCCCAACGGCGTTGGCACTATTTACTACCAATCTTTGCGTAATGTAGCCTCTACTTAACCTCCTAGCCTCTAGGCCTCGTGTCCTTTGGATCGTCAACAAGCGTAACGCCGGTTCACAGTCTACGCGCCTATCTGCCGGAGCCATTCCGCCCCAGCCAGACAAGAGCAATAGCTAAGCATGCAAAAGGCAAACCCATGAAAATAAAAGAAACAACATTCCATGTTTTGAAAAGCCAGCCGTGAGACACGTGGAAGCAAAACTCGGGACGGAGCGTGGTCGCGGGACTTGAGAGCCCCCGACGTGCCGCCCGTTGGTATAATGTATCTACATCCATGAATGCTTGCACAAAAGACGGGACTGCATTCTCAAGTCTACCAATCCCCATCACCAAGGAAACGAGCATCGATTTGGTACGCTTATATCATGTGTTGCTGACTTCTCAAATTCGAGTCCCACGCGATCAAAACCAGCAATACCTCAAAACCGTTATCCTATTTGTTGGTTTGCTTAATCGTGCTATCACGGCGCTAGCATTGCTATCTCAGCTTGGTCTCTGCTAGTCGTTGGGGACTGACGACTAAAACAATCTGCTTCCTTCAACGTTACTGATCCCATCCCAACTCGCTCTTACCTAGGCCCGTTCGTCAATCTCGGAGTGCCCGTCGCTACCAAGATGTGCCCAGGTTGACCAGGTTCCAATTGCTGCATATCGAGGACAGGCAGCACTAGTTAGAGGGCACAGCCTCGGCTTCTCCAGCCACTCAGTGCTCTTCTTGACGCCAGAATTGGGCCTTTTCTCAGTATCGTCGGGATCCAAGGACCAGAAAAACAGCACAGTCAGCAACCAGGCTGAGGGATGGTCCTCACAGGATCAAAGTAATGAATCTCACAAATGAAGCTCCGTCTTCAGCTGTGTGGATGCTATGCAGGCATTGATTGTTTAGCACTAATGGCCCTGTTGGAAGGAACAAATCATGGATTGGAATGAAGCGGCCCATTCGCGGCAGCCTTCAGCGAGGGAGAGCACGTGCGATCTTTGGTCGTGCATTTCAGTCCTTTCAGCAACGATATCTTCCTGACCACCTGTCATGTCAGCTGTGCATCTGTGTTTCACCTCCAATTTCCAGGACAAGGATGCCACAGCATTCCACCGTCGAATCATGCTTGGCGATTGGGAATTTGGTAGGTCCTGGCAATGTCGATCATCCCAAGATGTCACATACTTGTGGCAAGCTTCGCCTTTGGCCTTACGCTTCAACGTATGCAGCAACATTTTCCCTCGCCGTTCAGATAT